TGGTGAACAGAGTGGTATCATAATCGAGAAGATGAAAAAGCGATGAAATCGAAAGGAACGCATCGAGGGACTTGAACCGCATCCGAGATGAAAGAAAAAAAAAGATCAGCTGAAAGAGTCGTCACATTTACTCTTCAGTCAACGCGTCATCTCCAGTCTCGCGCCATTCCTTGGATCGTTCGGTCAGGCGTCGCACACCGGCCACACGCTGGGCCCAGTGTGCCTCAGACGGCGATCGGAAAGTATAGGCCCTTTGCGAGGAGATCACGCCGATGCCTTGTAACACCGCCTTGCGAGAGTCTCTGGAGAATACCGCAGGATGGTTGATCCATTCCAGCGCCGACTGCAGGTCTGCGTCCAATGCCGTCATGGTCTGACCATCGACTGCAGACACAGAAGTGATGGTCGCCGTGTCCGAAGCCGCCGACGAGTGGCCGTCGAACATAGACGACTTGGGTGAAGAAGAGGTAGGAGTGTCTGCTCGGCTACCGGAGTCGCTGGTACCCGCTGGCCTGGGGCCGGGGGGTAGAGGAGGAAGACCACCCTTGCCCAGGCCCTTCAGGATACTGCGAGTCTCGGTCAACAAGTGCTGCGCGCGGTCATGCTGCCCACGGGACACCAAGGTCAAGGCCCGCGTCAGCATGTCGGACGTCAGAAGCTCCATGCGTCGTTGAACGATGGATGGATGAGGAGGGATGGGTGGGCTAGACGGACGACCAGGTTTAGCCTTCGGGTTAGGTGGAAGCATAGTAATGGCCAAAAGCGACGGTCGCGGAGAATGAGTGAGATGGCCTTCCCGCAGGAAGTCGCCATAGGTCAGATCTGCCTGGATCAGAGGAACCTCCTCAACGCTTGCCACGCGTTGATCATCACCATCAGACATACCCCCCAGTGCCTCTAGTCCTGACACCAGGCTCTCCCAGGCATCTTGAGGCGTAAGGTCTTGCGTGGAGTTGTCAGGAGGGATAACAAGCTGGACCAGAACGTCACGCTTGTCGCCAAAGCGCAAGTCTCCAAGAGCTGCCTCCGCATCACGGCCAGTAGCCCGTTTTGTTGTATGCAGTGCTCCACTGATCTTCACGAACTTGGCAGGAGAGCCCTCTGGCAGACGAAGCTTTAGCTTCACGTTCTGGTGGGAGGTAGTCTGCAGTGCACCCAAACAACCAGCGACACACTCCCGAAGCATCATCCAGTCCTTCACATAGACGTATGAGCCTTTGGTCCGAGTAGAGAGTTCGATAATAGTGTCCGGTTTGTGGGTTAATCCAAGGCCGAAGGAATGAATATTAACCCTGCAGGCAATCAGTAAATCGTCGGTTGAGCTTAGAAATGAGGATGACTTACTTGGCAGCTTCAGCCCTGGACACAACGAAATCGACGCTATCGGGATCGGAGGTGGAAGTATCACTAATTAGAAGGATGGTAGAGATGGGATTCGACGACTTCCGTTGCATGAGCAAGTCCATAGCCACGTTAGCACCCTCGACCACATCTGCACGCAGACTCTTCTGTCCGACAGGTCTGATGGACTCAAGGATCTTGGGCCATCCACCCCAGGACTTTGTAGTCATTCCCACTATTGGGACGCCTCCACTGCTCGAACCGAACGTCACCAGTCCCATACGGTCGCGAGGGCCAAGGCTTTGTACGAGGAACCTGAGCGCATCCCGAAGGAGCGTGATCTTCAATCCTTGCATGGAAGAAGAAACTGGAATCACGACTACAAGGTCGAGGGGTATATGGATAGATGGCGCTGGGCTCTCGGTGCCCATGTTCGTGTAGTCGGTAATAGCCGTGTTGATTGATCGGGCTGCTCCGTAAGACGAGTTGATCGAGGCCTGGCGTCTGATAGGATTGTTCCGGTATTCCTCCTCCTCTGCGCCAGAATTGTCATAGTCGTAATCGTTGTGCGGAGACGTGCTCTCCATGGGATGAAGGTCGAGGAGGGAACGGCGCCAGAGCTCTAACTGGCTGCGGTTCGGGAAACGAAGGTAGAAGCAGGGAAGCTCACTGACAGACAGGTTCAGTGCAAGGATAGGCTCGTCTGCGGCAGCTTCCATGCTGTTGAGGTGCTTCTTGATGAGAATAGAGCCCTTCAGTGTGCACCGGGTTGGCTTCGGCTTAGACTGATCATCGTCATATGAACGGCGCTGGGTGTTCTTCTTCTCCTTGACGCAGATAAGCATTTCTCCGAAGAGATAGCATTCCAGTTCCTGCCAGGATGTACGATCCTTTCCCACACTCATGTGGCCGTGCAAGCGGAGCTTTCCAAACCTGAGTTTCCGTCAGCGTTGCGATTTTGTAACGGCCACATTGAGCCACCTACCGGTTGAATTCTAGGCCGTGCCAGTTGTCCACCTTGTTCCGCAGATCCTCTGCCAGATCGTCCAGGTTCTCCTGGCTTTCATGAGGAATTGGTTTTGGCTCCTGGTTCGGGGGGAAACGCATTGCGCCGTAAGGTTCGTCTTGGGGCTGATCTTTGCCATTCGCAGTAAGGTCGCTTGCATCGGGCTGCCAGCTGCCCTCGGGCACTTCTACCGTTATCAGGCACGTTAAAGACTGCTGCTGGCGTGAGCGATTAAGCGTCGGGAACTCGCTGCGGATAGTCACCGTTGGCGCCGGGATGGGATTCTTCGTGACAGCGGGACGGGGGCTGAGGTCAGACTCCATAGCTTGCACGTCATAATCATGGCGTCTTCCATTGGCGGCATGCTGATGCGACTCATTGTAATCGGATGAACCAGCAACACTTCCGTTCCGCGAGTGGTGTTGGCGGGAACCCATGGTCAGACGTTCGACCCGTTCGCGGTGGCTGCTATTGTCGCGGCTGTCACGTCTGACGTAAGTATCCCGACTGTCACGGTTAAGGGGCCGGCTTCCTGCATGACTTCCAGCATCACTGGGCCGTCGTGCTTGAGCTGGGACAGGTTCCCAGGGAGGAAGATTAGACATGCCACTTCGATGAGTCGCAGCATCGCTAGTCACAGAGCGGACAATATTGCTGAGTTTCTCTGTATGCGGTAATGATCAGCACAGCCGTTCTTCCGATCCCTGCAAGGGAGAGAACACCTACCGAGATCCAGCATATTTCCCCCACGGCTAGTATCAAGCCCTAACGGCGCATCGCATGTTGGGCAGTACTGGCCCTCGAATTCGCGAATATATTCATAAAAGCAGGCTTCATGTGAGACATGAGTGCAGGAGAATTGGAGAACACGTTCACCGCGCAAGGTATGTTCCAGTGGCTCGTCGCAGATGGCGCACTCAGTGCCGACGAACGTTCTGTCTCTCCGCGTCCGAGTGCGGTCAACATCCATTAAGCCCGCCATTGGCCTGCCTGACCTGGAGTTGAAGGACACGCGCGACGAGTTGTGGGAATCAGACGGCCAGCCGGAGTCTTGTTGGCTGGAATAGACGGAGTTGTTTGTGGCAGAGGGAGCGCGAGACCGGGCAGTATGAGCAGAGTAACCGGTTTCAGGGCGCTCTAGAGGTATATAGGTAAAGGTTCGGGGTGGCGGAGGTGGCGAACGAGATTTGGAATTAGAAAAGAAGTCTGCCAATATATTGGATTTGTCACGGTCAGTGGGGATGAAGTGAGAGGGAAGGCCAGGTGAAGAGCAGAGGCCAAGACGGACGACGGCAAAGACAAGGCAATGCGATGCAGTCGTCTCACATAACACCAGTGTAGGAGGTTTGAGAAATGAGTCAACGTTTTCTAATTCACGTGCTGGCCCCGAGGAGGGTATAGCAATGAATGAACTGTAAATGGACAAAGGACAATAAAAGGTGCTGAGAGCTCAAGAAGGAAACGAACGAGGGAGCAGCTCCAGCAAGAAAAAAGAGGAGAGACAGTAAGAGAAAGAGAGATAAGGAGGGAAAAGGAGAGTGGATGGCAGACAGCAACCAGAAGAAACAGACAGAAAGGCAAAAAGTGTAAATGATAACCAGAATAAGAAGGACAATAATAATATAAGATTCAGCAGCCGAAAGTTAAGAAGAATCAAGAGTAACACTAGTACGAGACACTATACTTACGGAGCGGAGACTTCTTTTTAGGACGAGCAGTGCTGCCACGCTCGGATGTGTGAGGGCCAGAATCGTCATTCCCAGACGTGAAATCCGATCTGGGAGAGGGCCGATGTTTCCACATGGACCACGGCAAAAGAAGCTCCTGACGGATCAGGAGGACGACAGGATCAGGAAGGAGGAGGTTTTGAACTTTTGAAGAAAACAAGTAGGAGGATTTACTATTTAGGGGTGCCAAGTGGGGGGGGTCAAGACGTAGTGGGGGTTGAACCTGAGAGAAACGCCCCGAGGATGGATGAGATTGACCAAGGGTGGAGGAGGATGAGTGGCTGCAGTGAGATTCACCAACAAAAAGGTTGGTTGGCCACGCGTGAGACTGGGAAGGAGGAGGGAACGAAAGGGAGGGTGTGTGTGAAGATGACGAGAATCTGGGAGAGGAGAGAGAAAGGAGAAGGCGGAACAGGAAAAGATGGAGATATCGCACTGGTGCGAACAATTTTACGACGGCGTCCGAGCCGGTTCAGCGAGGCCGTTGATAGTCGCTGGGGCGGAGCGATCAGTATTACGAGAAATGGTAATACTAACCTTTTTTTTATTTTTCTGTGTACTATTTTATTTTGTAGTATTTAGTATCCGCTGTTACCTACTGAGTAACCACGGTTACTTTTACTACCACTAGCAAGGACCATTATAAAGGACTATCTACTACTCGCTCAACATACACCAGATATAATCACATTATCCTGGTTTATATCGGGTGCTAAATACTCCATGACCTGTACTCTCTTTTCAAATGGGGTAATTCTTTCGGAACGGTATTGACACAAAAAGCCATCGGCGTATTTTGTGAATTGAAGATTACTGGTATGTAGTGGGGCCATGACCGCCGAGCCATGAATGTTTGGAGCTCACTAAACCACGCAGTGGGGCCGATCCAGGGACTGGATACATTCAGAAGTCTCAAAAGGAACGGAGTCCCGGTACGGGTAAACCTACGGTATCTGAGTACTACCCCTGAAATGCTGGAAATACTTAACCCCCTCGGACTAACGTTTCAGAGAATGAGAGCAAATGTGGTATAGAAGTCACCCTGTTAGGAAGGCGTGAGGTCATCGTGGCTGCACGATGTGGTCAGAAATGAGCTGAGAATTCTCCATGCTAAAGTTGCATCAACTATCCAACAGATATCTAAACTATTAAATTGAGTCTGAATAAACCGGGGGATCCGTCATTTTTCCCATCCCTTGCATCCCTGGTAAAATGGTCCGTCCAGTCAAATGCTTCGATGCTAATGCCCTACACGGAACTTGGACATATCTTTTGCATCAATCTGCTGCCCATTATCGGAGATTTCTTTCATCATTACCGCCGCCATCACTATCAGTCTAGGCCAGCCACACTGAGGCTTTGGACTCTGCAGGCTCCGATGTCCACTGCCGATTATTGAGGGCTGCCTGTCAGCTGTGGATAATGAACGGCGGTTGAGTGGACTACGCCCCTCAATGAATGGCCATGAGCAGCCAAAAAAAAAAAAAAAATACACGTCGAGGTTGGTGGTCTCTATTGATACTCATATATAGCGATCCTCGTTGGACCCGGCAATGGCATCCCGATAGGCTGGTGCTTTTGCACAATCCAGCAACGATTGGCCTTAATTTCGGCACTGGACTGTCGATCCTCGAACGTTTGCTGTCATGACGAGGAAGTAAATCGAGTCCCATCGAAGCGCTGTAGGCTAAGAGCAAGCGGAAACTCCGGTTGGCATGCTTCTCCTGAGCTTGTAGGTCAGTGTTGTTATTCCCCTTTCTCCAGTAGAGAACTGAGTGTCAACCGGATACGTAAGCGGCAAGCGGTACAGCTGCATATCAACGGGATCCCCACCGTGGAAGATTTCCACCCGAAAGGTTAGTTTGTCTGGGCGGGTCGCTCCCTTCCCCTTCCAGCGTTCCTTGGGACTGTACTATACTCGCTTGGGCGTTAGTCCACTCGGTCACAATCGCTATTGAGAGAGCATTGAGTCGCCTTGGGCTTATTAAAAAACCTGGTCCATTTTCGTTCCGGAGAAACGGAGGTAACGGAGAGCGCACCACACGGACAACGGAGCAGCACGTCCTCTGGTTTTTCCATCCACTTATGCGCCAGTGACCACAGAGCGGGGAATCTTCTGAATGATGATCATCAATATGACCGACCATCGTGCTGGCTGCCTGAGGGAAGGTGCGCGCTGAAGTCCAAAAATATGTGCTGTGGAGGAACCGTGGTGCTGGTGGCGGTTCTCCCCACTTGCGCCCGATCGGAACTCGCAGTTCGGTACGGAGTAAGGTAACCAAACACCCAGAGTTACATCGTCTTGTTTCTTCCCGTATCATCAATTGGAGATTACCATGTTGCCAAAACTCTATATTGCACAACACCAGGCAGTCACAATCTAGACAGAGAAAGAGGTTGCCCGCTTGTGCAAATTGTGTTGCCACTACGTTGCACAGCTATAGAATGCCTTGTAAAGCATTGTGCTAAATGTTTTACCCCCGCCCCTAGTGAGGCCTCCCCGACCCTCTGCAGTCTACACTTGAAATCCATGCGACTATTGAACCGGACCCAAGGATTCAGCCCCCAGTCAGCAAGATTCAAGGAAATCCTAGGGGAAAAAAGCAACTCACTGGATCTTACCCTCTGCAACTCTATTTTATGACGACGGATGATCAGCCTAGGGTTCGCGCCGTAGTGGAGGATTCTCTGGTCCAGGCTAAGGAGCATAAGGCTTTCCTGGGGGGGGTGGCCGGACACGACCTCATTCACCGACTGAGGGTTTAGACGTGGGCGATCTGGCTTCTTGACGGGTATCTTTCTCATCTGAACACGGCTGCCATTTCCGAGGTTGCCTCCAAGACCACAGTCGATACGTTTGTCGATGTGGCAATATACTCCTATTTACTAGTCCCTACCGATTAACTAGTCGAAATGACAGACTACCTAGAGACGGGCTTCCACCACGGAGGCGACCTCGGTATATTAGCTTAGTACGCCATACTAAGCGCGTCGTGCACCATCATCATTTCTAGAGCTCTTAAGACTCAAAACTGAGTTAACTGCCTGTCTTTCATCCGATTGGTTGCTTAATCTACTCGATACCATGGTTGGTCCCTCGACACTTGGATACATGGCCCTTTTTCTTCGCTTTTTCCATTATTCTTCTCAACCGTGGAACCGCGATCTGTGGAAGAAGGCAAGCAAAGCTGAGCCAACCACACCGCGATCACGTTCCACAACAATCAATCTTGGGCGCTGTCAGATTCAGATGACGGCACAGTTCGCATGCGCACAGTGGAATTATTTTCACGTACATGGTACCTACAGATCTGAGGACGATCCCACCTCAACTGGCTGTTGAATGTGACTACCCGCATCTGTGTTACCTCAGCAATAAATATAATGATGCAAAATCACATAACTACCCAACATGGCCCCAACAGCACTCACTAGTTTTCAGGAACTATCGCAATGATATGCAGAAGAGTGCATTGGCCCCATAATCATGCACGGGTCTTGGGTCGGTGATGAGAGGCGCCCTCACCTGTCAGTGTTCAAAGCCCCTAGATTAGTATCCTGACTCTCCACTATCATGGCGCTCGACAGGTCAAATATCCGCCTTATGACTTCAACGGCCAGGGTCAAATCTTGGTTATGGGACCAGTCGGACAAAGAACTGATTTGGTACATGTTGTATTGGGTTAATCTAGACTGACGATTTCTGCAAATTGATAGTTAATACGGAGTATTATCCGCTACTCTAACCGGCGCAGTTTAGGTCATGACTACGGGCGCGACCATGCTGGAAAGAGCAATCCCGATCCATTGCAATATCTACAGTAAATTACCACTCGCACCAAGCCATGACGGTGTCTACTACTTAGCTTTTTCATCCTGACTCTCTTCGGCTCCTAAGTGATTGGTAACTGGATCTAGACTAGTTCACTGTATGAAGAATACAGAAATGCTGGGGGCGGGCAGTAATAATATTCTTGTTATCGAATATCTCCCTTGAAACAATCGTGAAACCAGCTCTCCAACATCCAACATTGGGGCAGAACCGCCTTGTCCGCCATGCCTTCCAAGCCCCCTTCCCCTTCCCCTTATGGTCAGGTGGGCCGAATGACACAGAAACACAGACAAAGTACCTATTTACTCCCATCGCCGCAGGCACCTGCGGGATTTGCTTTTAGGTGTGGTCTGATCACACCCGTCCTCATTGTCAGGCAATACGAAGTTAACAAGTAGTAACTACAGTAGATAGATAGATAGACACAGTAGGAAATACTACACAGTAGTGCACCTTTTTCCTTGGAATTCATGCGACTGGTCATGCCCGATGTGCACTGACTTTATGATATGTAAAAAATCCCCCTCAGCCCAGCAGCGCCACTTGCAAGGCAATTTTCATACATTTCTTTTTCTTTTTCTTTTTCTTTTACCTCGATTTCTGCATATGTGTCCAATGACCTGCATCCCTTCAATCAATTAAACCCGCATACAGTAGCTCCTCTCTGCACGGACGCTTCAATTTTCAGCTCCTGCTCCTACTTCGCATTTCCCGGAATGCTCCCGACCCTGAGTGTAGTACTGACTCGTCTTACCCCGAGTCCGGCTCCCGACATATCCAATGCAGCATTGACACCCGCACAGTCCATCCTTTGACGCAAGGTACTTCCTGTTCCCTTTCCCCTCCTGATTTCCCCATACTGTATAGCTTCAATGTCTTCTAAGAAACTAAGCAAGTAGATTCGCCGACGATCTTCCGTAGATAAGTCCATTCCTCCGGCCGTATGATAACCCAGGATCGGGATTGTCGCTGGCCTAACCGTGGTTCGAGCACAAGATAGACTACTATAACCTTGCCGTGCATTTCGGAGTACCCCGTACTAGGTACTTAGTACAGTTATGGACATGTCTGAAAGTGCCAATTCTAAGCATTGATTGGCGGATTCATCTAACCCTATTATTGATTCTGGCTTTCTCACACCAATCAAAATACCTTCATTCTTATGATCCCTGTCTTTGTCAGCGGCATTGGATATAAACCTAACACTATCTCCACTGTGCGGGTTATCGTAAAAACGAGACACGGCAGGGGAAGGGAAAATAAGTACATAGGGTGTAAGTACGTACGTCATTGCTAAAGGAGGGTTTGGGTTTTCGAGACTCGAGTTGTCGGACTAAATTGTTAGACTCGAAGTTATTTTTGATAGATGTTGGGGTTGGATGGTGGTACAATATTCGGGCCCGCTTTCCGTCTAGGGATTTGTTAGCCAAGTACTCTTACTGGGTGAGTGAGTGAGGAGATTTCGCGGAGTTAGTCGCAGAGATGACTTGAATGGGTTAGAGGTTGCTGTCAGGTGTCGATCATGGGCGGATTATCTGGTTAGTTATTGTGTGGTGAGGAATTTTTGGTCAGCACTTTACTTTGGTTTTGGTTTGTGGGATTGTTTACTCTATGTAGAACTCGGTGTCTTTTTGGGGGTATTGTCGTATTCGTCTAGTCTAGATTCCAGGTTCTTATGTTTTGTTCATAATTCCTATCGCCTATTTCGACTGGATAGTGTGTAGCTGGAGATGGTGGTAGGGAATGAAAAGGGCACATGCATTATCGTAGTACTGGACACGTATGCTTGACCATCAGAAATGAATCTGTAACAAAAGTACCCTCTTCCTAGGTGATTTGCTAAATTCACATGCATTGGTTTGAGAAGCTAAGAGGGCATTACCACATTGGTGCTGCTATACTTTCGGAGTGGCCGGTGCTGTCACAGATCTAAGCCATCTAGATGTTCGCAGATACCCTAGTGACTTACTACAGTCTGTGGTTATTGACTTGACTGATTAAGTAGAATATTTTCACTTATTAACCATACATTATTCCAGTAGGACATAGATAATACAATGGATCACGATTCCGCGGCAGATAGTCCAGACATAACCATGGACGGTATGAGCTTCTGCAATGATCTTAATATCTACCAAATTCTTCATTATGCCTCTGACTACACGACTACACAAACCCACGGTAATACAATAATTAAGAGAGAGTATACCATTATGCCATGATACAGAGTAGTAATAAGGCAAGCACATACTCAACAACATATCTTTTTACTATAGCAGAACCAGCATTCTAACCGTGCCAACCTCAACCCCTCACTTTCTTGATATCATATTGGCCTGGCAGCCTGCTATCCATTTCTCCATCAATCAACTCACATACTTCGGTGTATTGATGTCTCTAAAGCTAAGTATATTAGCATCACAAGTCGGGGGTCTCTATCATTCAAACCGCGCAGTTTCCTGCATCTGGACCACATCACACAGCAGTTTCAGCAAGCTGGACATGTTTCCGTAGCTCATACTAAATGGATGATCTCTTTCCGCTCTGATACAGTATGTCACACTACTTTCTCGCAATAACGTCCGCTTGCCCGAGATAATGTCCGCAATTTGTTCCGGGTCGTAGGGGATAAATGAGCCAGCATGACCCACAATATGCTGTGCTCCTATGTATGTAATGCATGTAGGAGATAGGGGGTTTTGAGCTTCCCAATGTACGTGTATATTCAAGAGATGCGTTTGAGAATGTATCAGAGTTGTGGTACGGGCTGGGGCTGTGAATGTTAACAGGATTCATCGTATATGAGGGATCCCAAATAGATATGGAAGAAGTCAAAGTATATTATCTTCGAGATATTTCTTTTTACAGCTCAGTAGATAATGCCTACCTAATTACGGATCGTAAAACCCCTTCATCTTTCGCACTATTGGCATCTATGAAGCCTGGGCATGTCTGGCGCCAAGTCTATGTCTTAGGTAATAGGTAAATTTTGACTTGCAAGAATGTAACATTAGCTGATGACAAGACTTAGCATTAATCTTAGCCTAACTAATCCCTCTGGAGAGGCCCTATGGCCCGTGGGCTGCATAGGATTGGAGAGTGCTATGGTAGTAGTCTCCAGATCTAGGCCACAGTGAGTATGGAACTGACCCCGCAGTCTCCGATAATTAACCTGGGCTATATTCATACACAAATTGTTTCTTACCTCTATTAAAACACTAAATGGAGCCTAATCTCCTTTCATAGCCCAGTGCAGTCATTATTCACTCATTCTCAAATTTCCAGGGCAATAGTAGCCGACTATGGCTCTCCCCGCACGGTACACAAAGACCCAGGCATGCAGGACATAATGTGACACCAACACCACCATGCATGCATAATACCTGCAATAAACATCGATGATGATGTCGTGCAATGCGAATTACAAATTCCCCCCAAGGCTTAGGTGAATCCGTGCTACCCTAACCCATCATACGGCAAAAGGTTGAATACATGCCACTTTTGCTACTTGGTATTTCACCGATACGAGAGAACCAACCATCATGGGTAAGTAACAACGCCATTGTAACATACCAAGACCATTTTCACCCGCTAACCAAACTCTATCAGCAAGAGAAACACCCCACTACAACAAACAGAGTTCACAGCTCCCAGAACACAACAAATGGGAAAATAGCCTCTGTTTTCTAGAACACCCCAGAATGCCATTAGGGTTGGTATCCGAGTCAGAGGGAGAAAAACTATTGTCGGACAGGAGTCCAGAAAAGGCAGTATGTCCTTTTTTCCTTCCGTTTCTCAACTCAATTCCCCTCAATGCTACTATGGGGTCTCTTTTTCACTCTTCGGGGTATGGAAATGAAAACGAACGCAAGTTCCAAAATTACAAATCGCAGTAATATAATCCTGGTAATGTGATCGTGATACCTTCCTACTTTGTGACTTACTTCCTCCTCCCAACACCGCTCCAGTTGGGTCAAGGCCACACACAGGCCATGATCTACACATCTGCATCCATCTCACCCGCTGACCCAAAATCTGGAATTCCGGGTTGAACAACTAATCAACTGGACGGAATGGCCCCCAAGATATACTACGCAATTAAGTTCCCGTGTATGCACCCAGCCCTGCTACGCCTTGCTCTCTCTCTCTCTCTCTCTCCTGATTCTTTCTTCCTTTCTCGGGCTAAGTATTTGACTTACTAAATGGTTACACAGGGAAGCAACTAGTGCCGGTGGGAAGGTCCCCAGTGTGGGAAATCTGGAATTCCATTTCTAGCTCCGTGACGAACCATCTCCGTGCGTAAAGTAATATAGTTACTAATTTGGGTCACCTTCAGCTTATCCACTTTCTCTTGCCACGTTTCGCAAGGGGTCGGTCCCGTCTTGGGCTGAGTTGTGCTGCTGTTGCCGTCTTTCGCTAGGCTGTTGGTCCGTCTATTCTTGTGATGCTCGGGTCTGAGGATTGATCAGTCTACACTATGACTGCATTATAGGCCGATATTGTGCCTATCTTCTAATATCTATGTGAACTAAGTATATATCAGCACTGCCTCCTAGCATTCAGAGTCGTGTTTGTCTGATTCGTTTCTGCGCTGTGCTGTAGTCTTCCGATTCAGTGTTTACTCTTGGAATATGGCGTTTTCGCCCCATGGCAAGTTATTGATGCTGACAGTATGTAGCCAGAACAGGTTCCATGCACACATTTGTTTTGGGGGCGCATCCGTCACTCTTTGCCTCTCACTGCGTTTTATTACTGAAAGTTACACAGTCACATATGTCTTCTCGACACTTCAATCGAGCCCACAACGATCGGAGATCGCGGGCCGTTGATGCTTCGCTACAGTGGGCTCTATCATGATCGCCTCGTTCCGCGCACGGGGCAGTCGAATCGGATCCAAATCCTATATCTCTGCTGGACTCGACTCCGGGTTGTATGACATCAGTTCTAAGCCTGGCCAGCTCCCTCCGTGTGCTAAATTCTCACCAATCGCGTATATGCTAGGGTATCGGCTATCGCGGGAATCCCAAGGCCCTGCAAAGCTCCCGTAGGATTCCTATCGTGGGCTGGATCTTACAAGCGTTCATGCGGATGGAATTCTAGAGGATTAGAATCCTTGCGCGTATATCTGTTGGGTAGTGAATCATTGTCGTTGGCTATCGGCCATCGTGTCAGCCTGTCATGCAGTTTGCTGGCCCGTCGCACATGGCTGAGCAGCACGTGGCGCAACGAACTGGCCCCAGGCTGTGTCTTACAGAACTTGTATTGTAAGTATACCAACTTCGAGATGGCTTTTAAATCTGGGCCCCAACTAACACCGCCATAGTGTAATCGTAGTGAGCGTGGCTTTGGCAGACCCGCATACATGGGGCCAGAATGTATCCATGGCGATGCAGCGTCTGTTTCAAGAATTCTAAGACAAGCGAGGTCGTCTGGAGAGCCCAAAGTCAGTTAAAAGGCTTCGTCTCACCCACAACTGCATTTGGAAGGCAGTGTCAGAAGATAGACACGGTGAGCCAGTGTGCTTATCGGATATAAATCCTAGCTCGGGGATCCATAGTAGTATGCTTCGGACTTTTGTCCGCATGAGATTGATGGCGGCTCCAAAGTGCCGGTGGTCAACTGCTAATGTAACAGCAATCACTTCTGCTGACCAGGAAAATCCTGTTGCTAAGTTTGGGACAGTACAGACAGTGCACATATTAACATGCTATAACATGCTATCACGCATGTCGCCATACTACCTGAGAGGACGTGACCGCCTAAGCTCAGTGAAATGCTGAGACAGGCTCGGAAAGACACGGAACCCAGTTCTGCCTTAAGCTAAGAGTCGGTCTGGCCAGTGATCGGGTGAACAAAGGCCCGATAAACAGCGAGGGAGTGATGTGGTTGGTTGGCCATGGCGATCAGAGGGCCCGTTCGCCGTAACGAGCTCAATGGCGCGATTGACAAGCTCAATTGATGGGAGAAAGATGAGCCTGTGTGTTGATACTGATAGAAGAGAGAGAGACAAAGTGAGAGCGTGCGTGAATCGAGGCCAGTAGAAGAATAAAAGAAGCAGCTGTAGTGAAAAGAAGAGGTGTTTGTGTGGTTTGCAGGGGGCCTACACCGGACGGCCCCGAAGGGAAGGGAAGCGGGCTTAGATAAGCCGCCTGCCGAATTCCGCCTAGCCGCAGGGGAAAGTTTGTTCCCAACATCTCCGTTGAGGAAGTTGAAGATAACAGAATCTCCCTTCCTCTCCTCCAGCTCCTCTATACCCTCCCCGGTTGGACCCTCCCTCTCGTCCATCATGTTGTTCCGCGCTGCGGTCCGTCAGTCCGCGCCCTTGAGGCGTCAGGCCCTCACTCCTCTTGCTCGTCGCTCCGTCACCACCGACGCCGCCTCGTCGCATGCTGAAAATGTCCCCCAGGTTCGTTGAGAGCTCCCTGGATATCCCGGATTGACCTCCGCAATGGCCCTGGCTAATGCGATTTCCATCTATCTACAGGAGGATGACAAGCCCTTCACTGTCCGCCTCTCCGACGAGAGCTTCGAGACCTACGAGATCGACCCTCCCCCGTACACCCTGGAGATCACCAAGAAGGAGCTCAAGCAGATGTACTACGACATGGTTTCGATGAGGTATGGCCACCGTTTGGCCCTTTGCTATTTCTTTCCACAAGCCTCATGCAGAATCTAATCTATCGCTCAGACGCATGGAGATGGCCGCCGACCGTCTTTACAAGGAGAAGAAGATCAGAGGTTTCTGCCACTTGTCTACCGGTCAGGAAGCCGTCGCCACCGGTATCGAGCACGCTATTACCCGCGACGACAAGGTCATCACTGCCTACCGTTGCCACGGTTTCGCCATGATGCGCGGTGGTACCGTCCGCTCCATCATCGGTGAGCTGCTCGGTCGCCGTGAGGGTATCGCCTACGGAAAGGGTGGTTCCATGCACATGTTTGCCCCCAACTTCTACGGCGGTAACGGTATCGTCGGTGCCCAGGTCCCCGTCGGTGCTGGTCTCGCTTTCGCCCAGCAGTACAACGAGGAGCCCACCACCAGTATCGTCCTCTACGGTGACGGTGCCTCCAACCAGGGTCAGGTCTTCGAGGCCTTCAACATGGCCAAGCTGTGGAACCTCCCCGTTCTGTTCGGTTGTGAGAGTAAGTCATAGTCCTCCGCCACTCCATACAAGACAGCCAAAGCTAATTCTTTTTCTACTAGACAACAAGTACGGTATGGGTACCTCCGCCGCTCGCTCCTCCGCCTTGACCGAGTACTACAAGCGTGGTCAGTACATCCCTGGTATCAAGGTCAACGGCATGGACGTCCTGGCCACCAAGGCCGCCGTCAAGTACGGTAAGGACTGGGCCGTGGCCGGCAACGGCCCCCTGGTCTACGAGTACGTCACCTACCGTTACGGTGGTCACTCCATGTCCGACCCCGGTACCACCTACCGTAGCCGTGAGGAGATCCAGCGCATGCGCAGCACCAACGACCCCATCGCCGGTCTCAAGCAGAAGATCCTCGACTGGAACGTCTGCTCCGAGGACGAGCTCAAGTCCCTCGACAAGGCCGCTCGTGCCCACGTCGACGAGGAGGTCGCCATCGCCGAGAAGATGCCCGCTCCCGAGAACACCTCCCGCATTCTCTTCGAGGACATCTACGTCCGTGGCTCCGAGCCCAAGTGGATGCGTGGTCGCACTGTCGACGAGACCTTCTACTACTAGATATACCCATACCACTCAAATCCAAATCTAGATATGTTTCTTTTAAAACACAAGGCTCCCTATTTTCCAGTGTGAAGAAATGAAGCTCAGTTGGAAGAACTCTGGATGATGATGACAAGGCGAGAGAAGAAAATGAAAGAAATAGGAGGAGCGAGTGAGAGGAAGGTCATCCTTTTGTTTTTCTTGTTAAACACAAAAGTTTAGACCGCGCACACACATCACGCACCATACCATTTGGGATTGGCAGGCTCCTACCTACTTACTACGCAAAGGCATCCATACCATGGATATGTTTACTATGTAATTTAGCCCGGGAAATTTTTCTGTTTTTTATTTATATTTTTGCATTACTCCAAACCTCATCTTGAAGTTTCAGATTCTCCTAGTAGTATGTCTCTACTCATAATAAAGCATTAAGTCGGGGAATACACCTCTGGAGATCTATTAGATGCCTTTCGATAGTGTTTACTCGGCACTACTTCCTACAGATATGGACCTTGGATGTAGTGAAAGTATAGGTAGGTTATATATGTATTGTTTCCCCGAAAGGTCATAGTGAATATATGAAATTGAATAGAATGGAAATATGAAAAGAGAAGAGAAAGGATGTCGCCAACAGTCAGTCGGTCAGTCACTCAGTCAAGTCACATATCCGCACTGCAGCATTCAAAGACAATAGGAATCGAAAAGAAAGCTAATAAAAGACATAGGATATAAGATAGTCGACATACTCGTCCATGGGTATCATATGGTGAAATCAAAGGAGGCACGAATATTTAAACAGAAAGCAGGAGGATGTGAATAGTATGAGAGAAAAGAAGAACGAGGAAATAAGAAAGAACGAGAGACAGAGAAAGGGTTCTCAAGCAGGCTCCTGTCTCAACATCTCAAGGATCATTTCCTGCGTCCGCTGCACCGAGTCCAATTTCTCTTCGAGTGTGGCTCGATCTTTCTCTAGCTCGGCACGCACTTCGGCGCGCATTTCCTGACGGAGCTCATCTTTGAGTTTGTTGATGAAGTCGGATGATAAGTGCGTAAGTCCAGTTTGTGCAACGGAGGCAGGAGGGGCGTTATTGGTAGTTGTGTTGAGTTCCGCTGGTTGAGCGTCCCGGCGTTGTTCGCGAGCACGGGATCTGGAGGGCGACGCCGGTTTTTTGGTCACAGATGAGGTAGGCTGGGTGTTAACCGAGTCGAGGTGACGGTTGAGTTTTCCCAATGTCTCCAGCATAGCGCTCATCATGGAATTGTCCGTCCCTGATGGCGGATTATTTGTCGCGGCAGCAGCGGCAGCAGCTGCTGCTGCTACAGTCGTGGATGGCGTTGCCCGCTGTTGTGTCGCAAGCCCATCCGGAACACTAATCGCTGGCGACGGGGTCTGTAGTCCCTGATTCGAAAACATACTGTCGAACCCTGGGGGTAGTCGCACTGTGCTCTGCGATACAGGAGTCACAGGTCCAGGTTGCTGTTGGCTGACAGCAGGAAGTGGGCTTGTTGTGCCTTTCCACTCGTCACTGGGACTCATAGTCCATGTGTCCCATGGCCGGTCTTTCCTCTTTCTCGGTTTGCGCGAATCGCGCTTCTCGATTCGCCGTGCCTCTGCGTCCTCCCATCTCCGCCATGTAGGAATCCATGCGTCCACTGCTGCCCGCCACCGGGGATTCGACAGGTCTTCGCTCGCGTCCGCGCCCTTGTCGCGCTGTTCGTCGAGGAACTTCATCCGCTGTTTTGTAACCAACTCCACTTTACGACGCACCGAATGCCATGAGTATGGGTGTCCCTGGTCCTGGGTAAACTCTTCTGTAACAGTCATCCACCATTTACAGAGGTTACTGCGCTGTCCGAATTCGCTCGCATGCCGGTTGCAGATATTGAACAACGAGACTTCTTCCAGGGTAGTCAATCGCTTTCCATGCTTGCGCGACCGATCGCCGTTTGGCGCGCCATCGGGATTGTCGTCATGGTCTTCCATTGGATAGGGTCTAACGATACTGGCTGCTGCTGCATGGAGTGCGGCTCGATTAGCCGCGGTGCCGTTAGGCATAATCCCAGCGGTAGTCGTAGGTCTATGCCCGGATTGTCGGGAAATATTCGTTCCCTGAGCTAAATTATCGGGCGATGTGCCGTAGTCGGGATCTGCGAGAGCGTCGGTGTGGGTGGGGTCGCGCGCACCGGGATCCGTATGGTCACTTGCTTCGCTTTCGAGGGCCTCAGTCAGTGGTTGTTGGGATCGCGAATCGATAACGGCTGGTCCAGGTTGGCGTGTTTGCGGGCGTGCCGGTTGGTTATTGTGTTGATTGGAATGGGAATGAGGATGGGAGAGGGGAGTTTGCGGCTGCGGCTGCGGCTGCGGTGGTGTTTGGGAAGGCTGCGGCGACGGGTGTTGTTGCTGATGCTGCTGCTGGGCTATACGAAGATTGGAAGATGACAAGGTGGGAAGAGGTGTTGCGCGCGAGATCATGGAAGGGAGCCATCGTAACCCAGGCACTTGTAGGGAGGACTGAGTAGTGGAGGAGGGGGAGTCGATGCGAGGTCCAGAAGAGGCGGCGGCAGCGTTGGTCGTGGAGCCATGCCAGGGATACATTGACATGGTCTGTGATACTGGACTGTCTGTGCGACTGGCGGGGTACAATAAGGAGGACAATAATCAGAAAAAAGGACGATGAGGATGAAGCAGCAGCAGTGGACGCACTGCCGGCGTGCTGGTGATTGAAGAGGAAAGAAAGAGGAAAAGGAAAGTCGAAGGTCGAAGTCGAAATCGAAATGAAAATTGCTCGGTCGGATTTGCAATTTCGAGGGTTGACAGGCGAAAAGCCCCCGCCGATCGGGGCCCGGCGTGTATTTTTCAGCTGACGGTAAGCCGACCACCACGGTTACTTCCCGTTTGGGCATGTATACAATACATCCATGATACTATATCGAGTCAAGATGCTGGACGAAAGAGATCGCACAGGCTGTTATAATTAGATGAATATACAAAGGGAGGACAATAATATGAAGTGAGGATATATTTCATTGGTGGTTACATTTGTGCTCATCCAGCTCCAACACCGCTGCAACATGACATTGACCCTCGCCTTTCAACAGAGGACCAGACAGATAGATATAGAGATACACGGTGAGCACACCGACAATGCAGAGAAGATCTAAGAAACAACCAAACCAGCGACCCAGTAATACAATAAGACTGTGGAACATGCCCGCAGAACAGCGAAGATAAACCCAAAGAACAAAAACAGATGGGGGCAACTAATTAGTACAAGCATTTCTCATGCATCTACCGCCGTCTCAGGTACCAGTGGTATGCCAGCGCTCCAGTCGCAAGGTTGAAGGGCGATGGAACCTCCGACAAGCCCGGACGAACAACGGGGTGGCGCAGG